CCGCCGGCAATAATGACTTCGCGCCGCGCGAGAGCAGTAAAACGCGCCGTTGAATTGGTCGAAGACGCGAATTCGACGCATGAAGCTTTGAGCTGGATAGTTCCCAAGTTCGCCCATTTAATCTTCATGACCTAGAGACAATTATGAGCCTTGCGAAACCAGTGAACAGATACGGATGGGACTACGTACAAGGTATTTGAAGCAATTTGGGGCGATTATTCATCTCTTCCGCTGCTTTTTCTTTTTCTTCGTTTCTTTGTGAGATAAGATCCATTCTTGGAGGCACCTCTAATGTACGTATGCATGAGGCGGCCTCTGAGAGAGTCAGTTGTTTGAACCCATTCGGGGACGTGGCCTCGTTCTGACAGATGTTTTTTTGCTTCTTTTGGCCATTGGAAAAGATGAAATACATTACTGTAATAATTGAGGAGAACAGTGCAAGTGGAGAGCACAACGGCCGATTCATCATCAGGGTGGACGGGATGCACGGAGGAAGACTGGGGACAGTGCCGTGGTTTACCATTTCTCTGTCTGGGACATTGACCTCGACGAGTTGATTTAAAATTGTCGTGTAGTCTTTGCAATGTCGGTAAGCATGTAAATAAACGAGTCCTGTTGGAGCACAGAAGCTCGCTCCCGCAGATTGCGTCCGCAGTATAAATTGTGTCGGAGAGTCGGTGGTTTGAACCCATTCGAGGACGTGGTCGTCCGCTGTCTATTTTTCTTCTTCTTGTTTGATCATTATGTGTGCAGTCCGAGACCCGAGAACACAGCGGACCCACAATTAAATAAATAGTTGGTCGTAAAAGTTACAAGCAGTCGCCGGCGCTTCGCGCCGACTCCTACTTGCGGACACTCAATAAAAAAAAATTGGACAATGTATTGAGAGCTTCCAAACTTCCAGAGGTCCAGCGCTCCCAAAGGCGCGCTTGCATCAGCGCCTCGGAAGCTTTAACAGTGAGCCAAAAGAGAAGTTTGGCGTTGTGTACACTTTTATAGGCGCGCGTACTTAAAGCTGATCATGGGGCGAAAAGCCTCGAGGAAGCGCCATTTATTGAGCGCTTCCAAAGATCTGGCCCCAGCGCTTCCAAAGCCTCGGGCCTGATCCCCCAAAAGCGGAGCTTGAAAAGGCTTCAGACGGACATGCTTAATTTTATAAAGAGAGAGATAAGTCATGTTCAATGTTGGTATGTAGCTGAATGAGTTCTCGTGGAGCACAGCAGCTCATTTCTACAGGCTTTAGCTGTGGTGCGGTTTATTGGCACGTGGGAGAGTCGGTGGTTCGAACCCACCCGAGGGCATATGGCTGTAGCAAGTGCTGGAAGCTATTTTTTTTGTTTGTTCCGTAAGCCTTAAGAACATCTTTGAAGATGCTTACTTTAGCGACTGATGCATCCAATCCGTCATCAAATAAGCATTGGAGCGACCCGGATATTTATTCCCAGGGCCGTTAACTTGTTGCGGAAGAGTCGGTGGTTCGAGGCCACAAATTGAGCCAGCATTGTATGGCATTAACTCAACAAAATAAATGTCCGATGCGTTTTCGACAACGAAGACAGATCTGAACCTGAATCAAAATGTCAGATCGTTGAGAAACAAATATTAACCTCACATGCACTCTGATCGAATCAAAATGTCTTGATCTGTGCTCACGATGCCGGAAACAATGAAATCCACGGTAATCGACTTTTTGAATATTTTTTTTCAGGACGGCGTGAAAGGCCCAGATTGTAGATTGATGTGAGTAGATTATTTTTTCAAGTCAAATTGAGGAAAAATATACAGGGGTTCGGATCCTATGGAGCCCACAAAATGGGCAAAAACAAACAAAAATCGGCCAAAATCGGCCGAAAACCGTGGAAAACGGCGAAAATGGCCCTTTTGCGTGCCCCGTGGCACATTTTTGGCTGTATATTTTTCCATGATTCAACTTGGGAATTGAAGAGGAGATGTGTAGGTATCATATGGGAAACTCAGCTTACCGCAGAGCAAATCGTTGGGCAAGCCAAAAAATCAGGTTTTTCGGTTTTTGGCGGGTTTGCATCCAAATGATGGCCTATCAGAAGATATTGATGGATCTAAGTGATGTGATATGGTCGGCTCATTCACCTCAACAATCTGACATCTTGGTTTGGGCCAGAATGTACAGTGGTTGTCAAGAAAAAGGCCGAACACCAATCGGACATTTATTTTGTTGAGTTAGTGTACATGTTGGTAAGCATGTGGGCAGTGAAACTAGTCCTTGTGGAACACAGCCGCTCGCTCCTACAGATTATTGGAGAGTGGTGATATGAATGTACATGGAAGAGCCGGTGGTTCGAAACTCACCCGAGGACATATTCACGTCGTCTGCCACCATTTTTTTTTCGGTTTTCTTTCTTTGTTGTTGTGATCCGAGCTTCCATTGAAATTCGAGATCCAACGCCTCGAGCAGATTCTGGGAAGCTCGGCGTGAAGGCGGACCACAAATTCGTCTTCGTGCTCGTTCGCAGTACCATCCGTTTCCCCAAGATAGTCTATCTAAACCTTGTTACTTTTCCTTTTACTGTTCACATCTACCATTTCATTACTCGTTGACTCGAAACCCTGCATAAAGTTACATACCACCCTCGTTGGGTCACTTCCTGGACTGCCCCCTACTTATTACACCCACCGCCCTGCATCCAAGCCAGCTAGAATACTCTCCATGTACTAAGGGCATGGTGCTACATGGGCCTGTGGGCACTCTAATAGAATTGAAATTGAAGCTGAAATCATGATTGAACTCGCACAGCGACGACTTGAACAGCAGAACTGTTTTGCAGTGTAACCTCAGTAAACATGTGGGTGGCCAGTCCTGGTGGAGCACTGCAGCTCGATCCTGCAGGTTGGAGTGCAGTTCAATTGCCTATGAGAGAATTGGTGGTTTGAACCCACCCAGGAACGTGTGCCTTTTCTTCTTCTCTGTGTCAAGATTGGATCCTCTATATTATTTACATAGGCCTCTAGCAGAGTCTTACCTAAGTGGCTCGAACTTTGATCTGCCCCCACCATTAATATTTTATCAGTAAGAGACTGGAACCAATGGGGACGCTTATTGCTGCCCTTGGGAGATGCCGAGTGATGGGATCTGAATCTGATGTCTGGTGAATACTTCCGCCAAATCTCAGCTCAAAAAGCTTACCTCCGGACAAGGTCAGACAAATTTTTGCCTCAAAAAGCTTGATTTTCTGACAACCCTTGGTAGGAGTTTCACGGGGCCTGAGTCGTGTTGGTACGTAGGATAAGAGTCATAGCAGCTCGCTCCTGCAGGTTGACTCGGTTCCGTTGCATATGGGAGAATCGGTGGTTCGAACTTCGAACCCACCCTAGGACGTCCGGCGATTGCCACAAGCCTTTTTCTTCTTCCTTCTTTGTGTGATCAACTCGGAAAGCGCTCCAACAAAATCTTTGAAGATGTGTACCCACCAACGGTGACCGGTATTTCATTGAATAAGGATTGGAGATATTGATTCCCAGCACTGTTCACTTGTTGCGAAAAGCGTTTTGAATCAGTGAATTCAGAATTATATTGTGCAATGTAATGACGGTAAGCAAAACATGTGGGTAGATAAGTCCTTGTGGAGCACAGAAGCTCGCTCCTGCAGATTAGATCTGCCGTCCGCAATGTGCACATGGGAGAATCGGTGGTTCGAACCCACCCGAGGACATGCTCAGGTTTCTTTTCTCTATCATTTTCTGCTTCTGCTTTTTTGAGCATGGATTCCCGTTCCCGAAAACACAGCTGTACCGGGTTTCTGCCACAGCACTCAGTCAAAGTTATTGAATATAACCACAACCGTACAGAAGACAACGATAAAACAAATAATTCATTGCGAAAAGCTATGAGTTGTGTTGGCAGTACCTACATAGGTGATGAGTCCTCGTGGAGTAATAGGATAAGGAACTCGCTCCCAGACAATTGCGAAAAGTGTTTGAACTTAAGGGAGAGTCAGTGGTTCGAACCCACCCGAGGACGTAGAGTGGCCATGATAATTATCAGCTTTTGTTTTTGTTTTTGTTTCATTTTTTGCTTTTTGGGGTTCACGTTTTGGGGCAGAATCTGACAAGGTTTTGTTCATGGTTCAGGGAAGTGGTGGTTCGATTTCCGAGAACGTGCTTGTCCGGGAGCATTTTTTTCTTATCATTTCCTCCTTCCGCTTTGATTTTCACTGAAATTGCAGCCGGGCCAGAATTGACTTTCCCCGGTGTTCGACGGAATCAGGATTCTGGATTCTGGAGACTTGGAGTCATCGCGGTGTGCGCCGTGCTACTGAATGAGCCCTCGTGGAGTACAGTCGCTCGCTCCTGCAGATTATATTGTCCATTGTGTTGTGCACATGGGACAGTCGGTGGTTTGAACCCACCCGAGGACATGCCAGCTACTTTTTATTGTTGTGCTCCGAGCTTCCATTCAAGTTGGAGAGTTGGTTTTTCAAGGGAGCGTGGATGTGCACGTTCAGTGTCCCGCGAAGAACAAGTTTGATTTGTATTTTGTGTTTCGATTCCACATCCGCGTGCGGTGTTCAGCCAAAGTATTGAGTACGATAAGATGATGAGAGTAAAATCTATTCTGAAAAGTTATGAGTCGTGTTGGTATATAGGGTATATGTACAGTAGATGAATGAGTCCCTGTGGAGTAATATCAGGAACCTCCTCCCGGATAATTATGGGCTGCTATTGAAGCTGAGGGAGGTCGGTGGTTCGAATCCACCCGAGGACATATGAGCATTGCACTGCAGGCTATTTTAGTTTTATTTTGCTCGACTAGGATGTACCCCAAGAATATCTTTGAAGATGCGTAACCACTGAAGTGTCTAGTCCTTGTAGAATAAGAATTTGAGAAACCCAGATATTCATCCGCATTCGCTGCGCTGTTAACTTCTCGCGGAAGAATCGGTCGTCGGGGTGGCGGGAATAATAAAATTAATACATACTTCATTGTGCAATATTATGAGTCAAGTTAGTACGTAGGTAAATGAGTCCTTGTGGAGCACAGTAGCTCGCTCCCGTTCATTACAGTGTCTCATGCTAAGGTATCTGGGAGAGTCGGTGGTTCGAACCCACCCAAGGACGTCCCACTCCTCTAGGTTCGATTTTTTTTTTGTGAGATGGGATCTATTCCTCGGAGGCACTTCGATATACATATATGGATAAATTTGTCTCTGAGAGAGTCAGCGGTTCGAACTTTGAACGGGGATGTTGTGATCGCACGAGACGCAACTTGAAGCTCCGAATGAGTGAAATTAACTAGATAAATAATGGCGAGAGTGGGTGCGAATCAAACGAGAAAATTTTGATCATGAGACACCCACGACAGGTATGTAGCGACACACGGGTTTGACGGCGTTCAAAGACGAAGAGTAATGAGCCTATTAAAAAAAGTCGCGTCCAGTCACAACAGGTCACACACATCAAATCATTCTGGATATTCACATGGGTACTATATAAGGAAATTGGATATGGATATGACTTATGAATATGGCAGCCGAATAGGCTCTCATATTACAAAGATTACAGTGGGCTTGGCGCCTTCTATTTCAGACCGAAAGATCAATTCTCGAAATGGGTTGCATTGAATTGCAGGATAGCAAAACAAGCGGCCCCGCGTCTTTCAGCATCGCGCCCTTTTTATGTATAGACATTGATTCGACACCGCTGAATGCCGGTCCAATAAGATCTGCTTCTCCCACGCATTCTGATGTTTCTGAGAAAGGTTGAATTGGTTGTACTCACGTGGATGAACCGGTATAGTAGCTATCCTTATCACTCGGTCACCACCGGAGTATTTACGAGGACACAGAGCGGTGATTCTCAGGCTACGAGCATAAAATGCCGAGACTTGTCGCGGGTGTAATGATCCACTCCTCAAGATGCTTCCCCAACCAACTGTCACTCAGATTCGGCTGAGCAACATTACAATGTGTTTGGGTGTAACTGCAAATACTTTGAAAATACTTACAGTGAATCTCAAGACCCCCTTCTTAGCAACAATTTTGAACACCACTGTTTCTCTCTTGAATCATCTTCAGGTAATTCTTGGTTAATGTGCTGTCATTTTGAAACTCAGTCACCCATCCTAGACTGCAAAACAGAACAAGAACACCTGTATCCGGTTGATGGAGCAAACCTATGAACTGCTCAACGGACTTATCAGTCTTCATATCAAGTCAGCAGAAAAACAAGATTTTCCACCAGATGTGTTGAATCATATCGGAAAACTAACAGAGTACGTTGTTTGTCTTGTAGCCTTGTAGAGACTCCGTGCTAAGGCTGATTTCTATTTTAGGACCCTACACAAGATCCATACATTTCTTGAGGCCCAGCAAAATGGGAGCAGATTCAAGAAGTTTTTTCAAGTGGGACAGATGAGCACACTGCTCAAGGAATGCGAGGCAGGACTGCAACAAGGGCTTGACTTTTTTCAAGTGAGTCATCTTGATATTGTCTAGATGCGATAACTCACTGACGGATATGTTGCACAGATCAAGACTGTCAGTATCACAACAGATATTGCAGAAATGCAGCAAAACGGACAGAAGAGACAAGAAGAAGTACTTGACATGATCGAAGCGATGTCAGATACAACCACTTCCGATCGTGGATCCTTTGTATGAAAATTGTACCTACTTTATCCAAGAATGACAATGATTGTCGTACAGGTAAACGGAGTGTATTCCAGCTCCTTCGATAGGTTGGTATTCCTTTTTCTTTTCTATGACTGTTTCAGTAACCTAGCTCATATTGTCTTGAAGCTCAAACTCTGTCTCCATGGTACCGTCAGCACCAAAGATATTCCATGGCCGAGAATCAGAGCTTGCGGCTATTCTTAAACTTTTTAGCTTGGGATCTCCGAGTATTGCAATTTTAGGAGCAGGTGGGATTGGGAAGACCAGCATCGCCAGAGCTGTCATTCATCATGAAGAAATTGCCACCAGATATGAACAGTATCGGCATTTTATTTCATGTGACTCTGCAGCAACCAAGGTGGAGCTTGCCGCACTTATTGGAGCGCATCTGGGACTCAAACTAGGCAAAGACCTCACTCGTCCAGTAATCCAGCACTTCTCTAGTGGTCCACCATGTCTTTTGATTCTAGATAATCTTGAGACCTTGTGGGAACCTACAGAATCTCGCGGGGATATTGAGGAATTTTTGTCACTGCTCACGGATGTGGATCATCTTGGATTACTGGTGGGAATTTTTTCTCCCATTGGTTTTTAAACTCATTAAATATCAGATTACCATGCGAGGGGCTGAAAGACCAGCAAAACTCCAATGGACTCATCCATTTTTGCCACCCATCAAACCTTTGAAACAAGAAGCTGCACGTCAAACATTCATTGATATTGCAGATGATCAGCATGACCTGGAGGATATTGATAAGATCCTCACCCTTACACCGCCAATTGTCCAACACCTGGCAGGCAGGTGCAGTTGATATGTGTGTGACATGGCATGAGAAGCTGTCAGCCAGCGGAAAACGAGCTGAACTGAGCTTAGATGACGTATGGGTCCACCATGGAGCCAGGTCAGTCTGGCCACCAGCTGCCGGGCATATCTGGAGGAGGTCTGCAGAAGCAGAGCAAGGAACTGTTGTTGATTTATTTATTTCCGGTATCGCCGCGGGTGTTACTGTGAAAAATGCATTGGATTCTTTGCGAGGCACAAATCGTACATCAAGTAGATAAGGACGATGAATGATCCCATGTGATTACTGGGTGGGCACAAGAGGGCGAAGGAAGGAATCACAAATCTCGAGGGATGAAATTGAATTCAGTGCTGGAGCGTAATTAAGAATAAATAACACACAAGTCTTGACAGATTGAATTAACCACTTGAGGGCAACGGGGGAGACGTGACGAATGATTATGCGACACGAACTTGAGGGATTGCATGGAGTGGTTGACTTGAGCATGCTGGAGGAACTCGAGCAGAACAATATTGAAGCCAAGTTTGAAGGGAAAGGACTTGGGTTTGGAGGCGGCTTGAAGGCAAAAAAAGGCTTGCAGAACGACGACGAAAAGCCTGGACCTTGAAGCGTCGCAGCTTCCAAGCACAGCAGTTTGAACGGAGATACTTGACGACCGAGATTGGAGGTAGATGGTGATAGTTTGAGAATGTGATTCATAGGAGATTGGAATCAAGCTGAACATTTGGCCGGTCCCAAAGACAGACACGGTGCCGACTCTTCCAAGTATCTTGGAGGGCCGTCGTACAGAAACACCTGAGCTTCGCGCTACGTTGACGCTAGCAACCTGGCGAGCACAGCGACAAAACCGTCGGGAAGCCATGCTGACATAGTGTGGAATTTTCCCTTGAGCTTCTCACAGCCAGCGGCTCGGTGGTGTGTCGAAAGAGGACCGAACTTGGAGGGGAACGTACACATTTTTGCCACTGGCCACCCCTCTGCCTTTGCCATTTGCAGAGCATGCATGAAGAAAAACCAGGCTTGAGGCTTCAAGTGAGATTGGTGAAAGCATCAAGAAGGAGAGATGGAAGTGGGAGAAAAGAAAATGTCCGCACAAAGCTGCACAAAGTCGCGACCAACATGCACGTGACGAGGAACACACTGCCAAACAAACTCACGGACTTCCGTTTCCCCACAAACATCTTACAGTGGGAGCGCAGAAAAGGGACTGCACTTGTGGCTTAGCAATGTATTATTCTTTCTGTCCACAGAGTTTTTCTCCAAGACATCTGGAGCTGGGAGTTCAGAGCCTCGACGGGACACTGCCAGACGCACTGACGCGGGAGCAGCTGTGTTTGTTCACTGTGATTTTTAAACGGACGGTACAGATGGTGCGTAAATATGCCCTTGGGTAGCCCCCAGAAAATATGCCCAGGAATATTGATATTCCGCAAATGTGACTCCTGGAGGCAAGCTGGCAATATACATTCAAACCATGTGGAATGCGGCTGAAGGACAGCTGAAACTCTGGATGAAAATCTCAGGTGGTATTTCCTGGCTGGAAGCTGGGGCCAGGTGTCTGAAAATGTGGGTATAATGCGAGTCTTCCAGCTGGTGGAAATCTGTCGGCACTTTGGCGGTGTACAGACAACATACCACTTGCAATTAGTCTATTAGCCCACTTGGTTGACTCAGAAGGCTGCTCCAATGTATTATCTCGCTGGGAGGAGGAGAAAACAGCTCTGATCTCAGAGGGATATGACAAAAGATCCAACTTGGATTTATCTATTTCACTATCCTTGTCTAGTCCCAGACTCCAGTCCAGTCCTCATTCAGTGAAACTTCTGAGCCTCTTGTCAATACTTCCTGATGGCCTTTCTGATGCAGACCTGTTGCAAAGCAAAATTCCAATTGACAACATCCTCGGGTACAAAGCAGCATTGACACGTACTGCATTGACATACAATGATGAGCATAAACGACTGAAAACACTGGCGCCTATCAGGGAATACATGCAAAAAGTTCAGCCACCTGAAGAACACCTTGTTCAGCCACTTCGTAGTTATTTCCGGCAACTTCTTGAATTTTATGTGGAATATCATGGCATTCAATCAAGTTCTTCCACAGTTGCTCAAATATCATCAAACTTTGCAAACCTTCAGAATGTCCTCCAGATGGGGCTTCAAAAAGGCCATCCAGATCTAGTAAATAGCATTTACTGCACATGTTATCTGAACAACTTCAGTCGGTTCATTGGCCGGGGTTTTATTCCTTTGATTCATCAGATCCACGAACTTCTTCCACATCCATGTGACCATCGACTTGAGGTTCACTTTACGGCTGAGCTGTTCACCTCACATTATTATCTTTCAATCTCCGACCCGAAGACACTACTTTCACAAGTCATAAAACACTTTGAGTATTTCGATGATCCAGACCTCAAATGTATGCCCACTTTGATCAATTATGTGTTCCTATTGCTGACAATGATTGTTTCCAGGTAAATTCTACCTCAGCATAGCAGATCATTATTCTTACAAGCATGACCTTCCTGCTGCAAAGAATTTTAGCCAAACTGTGGTTTCTTTAGCAAGGGCGAGTGGGAACACCAAAAGACATGCTCAAGGATTGTGCCTGCTTCCATGGATCGAGCTTATACTTGGGG